GAGAGAGAGAGAGAGAGAGAGAGAGAGAGAGAGAGAGAGAGAGAGAGAGAGAGAGAGAGAGAGAGAGAGAGAGTAGTCGCTGCTACGGCTATGTACAGCTTTCAGCCTCTCCTTTGGGAGCTGAATTTAGAGGGATGACGAAGCAGCTAGTGTCTTCACCTGAATAGAATACCCGGTCATTATATTTGCAGCAAATACAGCCATAATGACCAGGCGTTTTATTCAGGGAAAGACGGTAGCAACGGCTTCAGTTTATGGTAGCAGCGGCATCAGTTTTTAGTAGCATGTGTCACAAGCTTGTCAAGAAACCAAACTCAAATGCTACTAGACTGATAGGTAGCCCCAGTCGTTACTGCTGCGTCTAGAATCTAGACCGATATTTGGACCAAATGCAGCCATAATGACCAGGTGTTACACAAGGGCACAGATCAGTGGGGACCACATCATATACGCGTATCAAGCACCAACTTCTTAATCCCCTCCCCCCTGCGCCCTCCCCTCTCCCTCCCCGCCATCTGCTTCCATCAGGGTTTGAGCTCAGGTCTCTGCTAATCAACAGTTACATGGGTGTAGCATTCTGCTACATGAACTGGGTAGGTTATTCTGGATCCCCTCTTTTAGCAGCAGTTACATCGCCGGCATCATCGGCGTTTGATGCATGTTTTGCATTTTGATACTTGTCTGACTTTTTTTGTTATCATGCTGATCTTCTCTCTATCATTCCTTTTTTTTCGGGGGGGGGGGGCGCCGGGCCCGTGCTAATTTTCTCTGTATCATGCCATTTTTTATGGATGTCCCGAAGGGCATCATTCTAAGTGAAAACAGATGCCGTGAAGGACAAGTTTGCATGTTGAGCCGACGACGGGAAAATTGTATTTGTGGAAGTAATGTTGGGATGTTTCTCCTGCTTTGATGATGTCTTCGGTACTCCCGATTTTGTTTCTGAACATTTGTGCCGCTGCTTTTTTTTTTTTTTTTTTTTTGCAGGACTGGACCTCTGGACGTCGACCAGTATACGGCTACAAGCAGCCCTGTATGCAATGACCTCACCAGGCGGACCCCATTTCCCACCTCGATCAGTTCGGCACGCAGCCTTCCGCACTCTCGACTGCCTTTATCCGGTAGGTGGTGACTCTCTGTCCTGTACCGATTTTCCCCCGAATAGAACTTACGGTCATTAGGGCTATGTCTAGGCTGAAAGCTGCCCCAAAGTACCAACTATAATGACTGTATAAGCTCTCTATTCAGGGAAGAAAAAGAAAAAGAAAAAGAAAAAGAAAAAGAAAAAGAAAAAGTAAAAAAAAAAAGAAAAAAAAAAGAAGGAAAGCTCGATTCAGGGGAAGGTGGTAGAGCTTACCTTTCTCGTCCCTCTTCATTCCTGTAGAGCCCTTGAGAATGCCGCTTGTTGATTGGGTGGGGGACCGCTGGGGGTGTCTGGCCCGGTACGGGTGGTGGCGGGGGAGAGGGCGTGCAGAGAAAATTCCTTGCGGCCCTGATGGGTTTCGCAAGTTTGTTGAAATTTCAAAACTATAAAATAATTAAAATTAGTATAAAATTACTAGTTAATATAAAATTACTAATTAGTGTGAAATTACTAATTAGTGATTACTAATCACTCGTTAGTAGAAAGTACTATAAACAGATGCTTCTTCAAAAGCCCTCACTGACTTTAACATCACCCTACGTGCAGAGAACCATAGCACGGAGGAACATACTCGTTAAAAAAAAAAGGAAAAAGAAAAGAAATGGAACGGACCTCGATAATGTTGGGGACTGTATGGAGCAATGCATCAGGGGGAAGATGCTTGGAAGATACTGGACGTATTATGTATGCTTTTGGGGGAAGATACTTGAAAGATAGTGGGTGTACTATGTATATTTTTGGGGCTCTAGGATTATGTCTTAGGCTCCTAGCCTTCTAGGTCTTCTGTGAATCTCTCTGCCATCTTCCTTTTTTTTTTTTTCGGTGTTCCTGCATCGTAGTGGACCTTACATCTCTGGAA